ATTTATAAAATATATGTTAAATGAATATTTCCTTTGAATCTGTCCCCGCAATATTTTCTATATACATATAATGACACATAACACCACATGCATGCATACGAAGAAACATTTAAAATGTAAATTCTCGAATTCTAAAGCATATTTGATAAATCTTCACGCACTAAATAATCGAAAAGATCAATAAAATATGGAATGTTGTAACAGATGTACGGGGAACATTATAAAAAATAGAAAAAATATTTAATACGAAATTAATAAGAATTATTTTGAGATCGTAGAGTTATAGTGTGAGTGCAGTCGTCTGGGGTTTGATATATTGGGTTGGCTTGAAAGTAATGAGACACTCCAGAATACTCTTCACATGTCCTTTTTTAAATTAATTGTTTTTGACCATATTCTATTGTATATACCCACAGAGCGGAAGTATCTAGAATGTTCTACAACATACTAGAATATGGTCAAAACAATTAACTTAAGAAAGGACATGTGTAGAGTTTTCTAGAATGTCCCATTACTTTCATGCCAACCCAATATTTTACACTTGCTGCATTAATTTTTAAAGTTGTATACTGTAGAATAGTATATATGTATTATACTGTACAAAATTGGCTTTACCACGATTAATCTTGTATTATAGAATACTTGGAATGATAAGAATTTGATTAGAATTTGATAGAATTTTGATTAGGTAATTGAGATTTCACTTTAGCGCTGATTTTGGTTTAAATAATTCTGAATGCTTAACCGGCTTAGATGAGAAGAAGGGAAGTTTTTTCTTATAATATGTAATCTATTAAAGTCTTGAAAGAATTTTGTAAATATTGTAATGTCTCGTACAGTAGTACAGAATTTATTGCCCCAAATAAACAAAAAAATTGGCGAATTCATATAAAACATAAATATAATAGTTGTAGTGATAAATTTGTAGTGTCGTGTGGTGACTGGTCAAACTACCGTTTCATATAATTATTTCTTTAGGCTTACTAGAAGATCTTCGAGTATTGACAAGTGCACTTAAAAGAATTTTTTATGATATACTGCTAAAATAAACTATGTATTTTTTGCACAAAAAGAAGTTAACTTAAACTTTAGATGCATGAGAAATATTTAACAAGGAACATGGAAAAAACTGAATATCATGACAGCAGTGTCCAGTCCTATAAACAATACAAGTATCGGAATCGTATATCAAGAGCATATGTATATATGTACATATACAATTCTTAAAGCTTTCAAGTAACTATAAGTCGTCATAGGTTGTTTCCGTTGTCTACGTTGGTTTTAAAATTACGATACCTAATAAACCCAAACGAAGCTGGATAAAATTTCTTGTTACATAAATAAGGTAGTGTAATTAATATTTTGGTATATTTTTTTATGACAAAATATATTATTATTACTTGTCTTGCTTCTAATGTCATAATTTTCTTTTTGTGTACGTACATAGCAAAGCTCAACAGTAATTGTATTTCAAAGGAAAAAAATATATCAAATTTGATGTAATTACTTAGTTACGTTAATAAATCTTACCCAAAAAAATTAAACCTCCGTATGAACACTTGTATTTCTCTCGTTCCGCTTGCACACTGGGTATTTGAAGGTCAGTCTAGATTTTCAAAGTGTTCTGGGCTCTTAGACCCTGACGTGACTCGACCAGTAGGATTTCACCATTACTCATTCTTTTTAGGGGAGGGTGTCGATCTCTGACCTCAATTCATTCTGGACAAACTTGAGATAAAAATTTCGACTGAGACTTAAAATACCCAGTGCGTATAGGAAGGTCTATCCGTGTATTTAGATGAGTACGTGAATTCATTGATGTTAAGTTCCATTCGTAATGTACATTTGAAATGAGTTTCTCACTAGCCCGATTCAGTAGTATACACAGGTTAATATTTCTTGATTAACAATAAAACCAAAGGAACGTCTGCTCCGTGTTAAGAATTCTGATAAACCATTAATAATCATTGCTAAAAAAGCACGACTTTGTATACGTGCAGATTACTATAACGTGATACACTTAACATTGCGTCACTGTCAACGTAAATATTTTGTATCTTTCCAATGTGATTTCATTACTCGACATAATTTTATGACATGTGTTCATGCACGGTTATTATGCCTATGGAATGAAATACATACATGACGTAGATTCGACGAAAAAAATACATTTGGTGAAAGCTCAAGTGAATCCAAAATAACAGTATGTGAATGCATATACACGTATATCTTCGGATGAGTTCGAGTTAGGCGACAAATACTTTACACTGTACAAGTATGTCATATATGAGATAAAGCTTTGGAATTCCAAAGAGTAAGCTATCCTGTGATGCACGTACAGAAATAGAAAAAATCACAATGCATCAGCGGAATACTGTTTCATATTTGAGATCGAGGTGGTGTTGGTCTTCCCAGACAGTGCGGTTTGAGCAAAACGTGTGAGCATTCTTGCACAATTAACCATTCACATTTACGATTAACAATTAACAATTAACAATTAAAAATTGGCGAGTAAAGATTGACGTACGATATTTAACAATTATTAGCAATCAACTATTAACACTTAACAATTAATGCTGATAGACGATGACGTTATAACAATAGCGAAGAACGGTGGTGCATATTATTTATATTTTTTCGTGAATAAACAGTGGCTTGATTGATTGCGTGAGCCAAGCAAAAAGCAAAGGCAACAACATCGATAAAGTTGATTTTAACATATTACGATGGCAGGCAAAGGATCTTTCTTGAGAAAAGGAAGAACTATAAGAAAAGGAGAACGATAGGGTGTGTGTGTGTGTGTGTGTGTGTGTGTGTGTGTGGGTGCGCGCGCGCGCGTGCGTTCGTGTGTGTGTCTGAGCGAATGAACGAGTCAGTGTGTAAGTGTGTGTACATGTGCGTGCACGTGGGTGTCGGTGCGTGCGCGTGTGCATGTATATACATTTCAATGATAGAATAACCTCTATAAGTGCATCGGCAACAATCCTCCGGGTTTCTTTGAACGTTGCACGTATATTTATCTAAAGGAGCAAGTACGCCTTCGTTGCACCGCAACGACTTCACCGTTTTTAACATAACAGGTACAAAGCAGAACAATGCAACTGTGTAGATGATTTATGAGTTGGGTTACGAGGTACACAGAGAAGTTCGAAGTGGAGACTATTGGACGTAAGATTCTGTCGATGCACTTTATCACCCATAGCTATACCATTTGGGTGTAATATATTGTATAAAGAATTCGTTGTAGATGCAGACATCGATAGTTATTAATAGCTGTAGTAAATGACAAGGTATAATATTTCATAGTTCGAAGATATACCCTATCATTTGGATGAGGATCTTACAAGCTTTAAAGTTGTGTTAGCCTGTACTAATAAGTTTTTGATTTAAGTGTGATGAGAAAGGTATATGAGAATTCTGAAGAAAAGAGCGAATGAATATAGACCGATGAATATAGACCGTAGATCCTTCCAAGATAAAAGGGTACATCGAGACGGCGAATAATGCAGAATGTACTGAATAAGGTGACTATCAGCCTCTTCCATTAATTTGTTTTTGCGATGATTGCGCACAGAAGAGAATACTTGTGGCAGTGCCGTATAGATCGCATGCGCCTGGCAAAGCTATATAATTCCTCCAATGAATACTATATTTTGTTTTATTATAGTTTACTTTCAAGGCACGCTTCAAGCTTTTGTGAAATCAAATTCGCAGCTTTGGCCAGCGTGATGCGCTCCACACGTGGTATAAGAATATATAATTGGACACACACAAAATATCATTACACTCGGATACACCAAAAAGCACGCGTATCTTTATATACATATATGTATATTTGTACATATAAATACATACACGAGCGACACACGTACATAGATACGAAGTGTATGAACAACTGGTGCATCGTAGAATGAGTGAGAGACTGAAGGGGTGAGAGACACGAGGGAGGGAGGGCGAGAGGGAGGGGAGAGAGAGAGAGAGAGAGAGAGAGAGAGAGAGAGAGAGAGAGAAACTGACTTTCATGTACATGTGTCCACACGTGCGTATTAATATCATTTATATGCATATTCGTATATGTATGTATATAGAGGATGGACCACATCATGTCTATTAAGATTATTTTAAATCATCCCTAACTAAATATCGTATACAAAACTTATTAAACTTTTAAATAATATCTTGCGGCGTCGATTGCTTCCTTAACAATCGTTTCGAAATCACTAAACTTAGGGCGAACGAAAAATATTCATTGTCTATCATATCGAATTTGTTATGTTTTCATCGAGACACTATAATCAGAGATGATATTGTGAGTGTATCGAGTAAAAGTGAACATCGCCGACTGAGAGAAAGCAAACAAATAAATTTCAGTTGATCCACCTGATACATATTCACAGACGCAATATACATATATTTAGGTATGTACCTATTTATGTATTGCACCTATACTCTATGCATACCAATGTGTACATAGATATTCGAGGTTATCCAGGCCAAACGCATCGACTGCAGTTAGCGCGTCCCCATTTATGATTCTGACGGTAGAGCCAGCTTCACCTGAGACGTTTAGCCCAAATAATTCCGTATATGTTTATACAAAATGTAGTATACATACATATATGTATATGATCACATACATATATTTTCATATTACACAGCACACCGCATACATATAATATAAAAATGTATGTATATGCATATATATTAGTAAGTAGAAAGATAAATAAGAGTGTTGGTTTAGAGGTAGGTAGATTGCGGCCCCTTGAATCTGTCGCCATGTACTGGCATTACTTACGAGCTTCCTTCCGAACTAGAGATCGAGTTGAGACTTCCGGCGGTGTCGCTGGCCACCGATCCTGCCTGCCTTGCCAAACCCAGTCGCTGATAGGTCGGCACGACCTCCTGGGAACGCTGTATGCTGCTTGGAGTGCTGTTTCGCTTCCGATTAAAACCGGAACCTCGGGGGTCCACAGCGGTCCCAACACTGCCACACTCTGCGTTGTAAACCAAACAGAAATTCTGCTAACTATGTGACTGACACTACGCAGTGACAATGGTACCCGCTGCTCTCGGTAGGAAGATATCTTCTCTCGTCATTCTTTACTTTCTTTTACGTTTCTTTCTTTACTTATTTGTTTCAGTATAATACATACACGCACTCTCTCGCTATCAACCTTTCACTCTTCCACTCTCACTTTTTCTCTCTCTCTCTCTCTCTCTCTCTCTCTCTCTCTCTCTCTCTCTCCCTCTCTCTCCCTCTCTGCCTGCTTCATTGTTTTTTACTCCTTATTCTTCTGATTCGCCTTATTTAACGTTTCTAAACTTCACGTAACATTTTCCCCTTGACTTGGGCCTCGTTCCCACTTTATGCGATTAACTCTCGTTCTCCCATTTCCTTGTGTGGCCTCTTTTTCCCTGATACATCACGTATCTTTTTTCCGATGTCTGTTTTTCTCATTATAAACATCAATAGTTTTTTTTTCTCATTTTTTCTCGTTTTCACTCTGCATTATTCATCCATTGAAAGAATGCACTCATAAACTCAAGAGATTCAATAGATGCGTGACTGCTGACAATAGACGATAATGTTGAAAACTAGGGAAAATAGAATATTCATGGCCACTGGCGTACAAGTATTTTGAAAATGAGACACATTATTGAATAATCTTTAAAATCCGTTGTTGAAGATCAGAATGAAAATATCTACGATTATCCGATGCGTATATTTAATGATGAACGAGGGAGCTTTCTTTTTTTAAAAAAAGGAAAAGCCTAATCAAAGGCCTAACCTGTAAAAGAAAGGAGTGAACGAGAGCAACTCGCAGAAGGAATTATATCAAACAATCAGCTCTCGTGGAACAATAGCATTTATGAAAGGCAATGTTCAACATCTATCTGATAAATACTACTACAAGTTCACGATACAAGTAAAGGGTATAAACTATATATGTAAGAATTAACACCATGAGCAGAGTATGTATATTCTATTGTAAGTATCTTTTGAACTACCTAAAAAATGTGTATGTGCCACTGTGCTACCTAGTAATTGACGTAGGTGAGTCAGAATTTGAGAAGACGGCAACGGGGAAAAAGAAAATTTGTGTTTGTAAGTCTACCGCTGAGAAAACTGAGAGAAATTAAAGTACTGTATGGTACGGGAACGGTGCTAAGATTATAATGTTATAAGCTATAATATATACGTTTAGGGGCATATCTTGCCGCCATCCTTTTTTCACATCTGTACATAGAAGTGGACAAGCTTTCGCAGACTCAAAGCTAAGCTTAAATACAATAAAATGTTGGATCCCGCTAAATTATGATTAATCCATAAGAAGCTGAGCTTTTGAATAATTGATATAATATAATATAACCAATTGTTAGTTTTAAGTAAACTGACTATCAGCTAAGTCTTGCGAGTGCTCAGCCCAATTCAATCCCACATTCCAAGGTACAAAATACGTAATAACACAGTACTTGGATACATCAACGAAAGCTGTAGCACACTCTCACCTGCAGCGTATATTAGCACTTTTACTATTAACGTGGTCAACTTATAAGCCTGATTAAGCGATCTTGCTCCTTTCCACACGTCTCTCCCTCTCTTTGTTATCCCTGTTTCTCTCTCTCTCTCTCCCTCTCTCCCCCTCTCTCTCTCTCTCTCTCTCTCCCTCTCTCTGTCTCTGTCTTTGTCTCTGTCTCTCTCTTAATTTTTTCCTTTTCGTTTAGAAATAGATTCCATTTATTTCTAGGTGCACTTGCCCTAAGTTGACCACGCGGTCTAGCTAAAGCTGTACAACAAGGCATTGTATCAATGAACACAACGCTTAGATTTCACTAGACTATAGATCGTGTGTGGGTGCCCACACACATTTGTGCATATTTAGAATAATAGGATAGGAAGTCAGGAGCCATATGAGTTCCCTGAAACGAAGTACTTGTAGTGGATCAACTTGGTGCCACTGCAATTTCAATGATGAACTATCCTATTGTTAACAATATGATAGTTCTCATTTTCTTATTTTTAACGCCCTTTTTGTCTTCTCTTTATTACAGCGTATTTCTTACTTTGCTAATATTGTTAAACAGCAGGAACGCAAATTGTTTCTGAAGAGATTTTAATGGTTCGAGAATGCACCGTAATTTAGTGTCCATCTAAAATCGCGTAAGAGCGTCTGCATCATTAGTAAGATTAATAAGAAATTATTTTTATAGTTAAATTGAATTTCAAGTGTCTAAATTTTTTTAAATATAAAAATATGCAGGTATGGCTGTGCGAAAGCTTCACTAATCTGAAATATTAAAAAAAAATACATGTTATATGTGATGCTGCGCCTAAGGAAACTCGTATGAAGATTCCTCTAGGAAAGGTAACTGTGTAGAGATTAGGTTCTACCGTGAGTAATGAGGTGCTCCAGCGTAACCCTTCTGAAAATAACTTGAAATCGTGAAAATCATTTTGATACTCCTTTCGTTGACACGAAATAGCTTTTTAAACACTATTATATCATTATAATGTCAACATAATTAATGAACGGCTTAATTATTTTGATCCTTCCTAAACACAAAAGAAACACGATACAAAACTCGGGCGGAGTTCTGCCATTTTTGTAAATTGGGCACGGTCATTTATTGAAGTTCAGCACTTTGTCTTACTTGCACGGTTTCAAGATATTTTACAGAACTCTGCCATTTATCACGCGTAGTGTGAGATTTGTGGAGTAGTATATTGTAGTGTATCGCGTTGTTGTTTATACTGATGTTATCGTTGTTTTAGTTGATCATAATGATGATGTACTCTCGCTCTTCTTGTTGAAAGTTTCCTTGTACAGTACTCGCATTTCGTCGAAGGCTCAATCCATTCGTGAACCCCGAATTATTAATATCAAGTGAACAAATGTGAAGACGAGATCGGAACGGAAATCGGCAACTGAATAAAGTTGCGGTCGTTAAAAAAAAAGTCATGATTATCAGGGCATTAATATTAATGGAAGCCAGAAAACGCGAGTTTTCATTCACGTGTAGCATCGGCGAAGTATGTTTACGTGTCCCTGCTTCTGAGAGGATCCCACATTTTCATAATCGCCATGTAAATAAAAAAAAAAAAGATCAATAGAACTTTGCGATTAGTGCAGTGTTCACAGTGCACATTTTCTCAGATTCCATAATTTAATGAAATAAGAAATATACAGAGGTTTAGAGGTCGAAGGCAGGTAGGAGGAGAGAAACATAAATTATATTAAGAATGAACAAGGGACACAAAAAGCAGGAATGTAAAGGTTTCTCAGTGAAAGTTGAGTAAAACGGGGTTAAATGGGATAAAATGGAATAAAATGGCGACTAGATAGAGGGAAAATGTGGTCATAGCGGACCTGTCCCCGTCAGCGCTGCCTTCGCCGTCACTGCTCGCGGAACTCGGCTGTCTTCCGCTCCTGCCGCTAGCTGTATCCTCCGGTAACACCTCTTCGCTTCTGTGAACTGTAAAGGACGACTTCCCCTTCTTGCCGAATCCTAGCCGCCGTTTGCGCCCTTCCTCGCCCACACATGTATTGCCAACATGTTTTTACATGTGGTTGACCCAGGTGCGATCAAATCAGTTTTGTTTGAGTTTTCAGGCAATCGTTGACGGATCATGGATTACCGTTTTTTTTTTTTTAAGATGCGTCGTTAGTTTTCCGTTAGGTTGCGGGACACCGATGATCCAGCGTCCATAAGAGCGTTGTAGAAGTAATGTGTGAGTGTGTGATGTCGAGGGAGACGGACAGAGAAGAAGGACGATAGAGAAAAGAAGAAGACGATTAGAATATACATATGGTACCCGCGGCGTCGTGTTCGCCCTTCTGGCCTTCAGGAAGCCTTTTAGAATGAGGCTTTAACGAGGATGAAGCTGTTAGGGAAGAAAGGATGGAGAGAAGTTCAAGAGGATCGTAAAAGATGAAAAGAAAAAAAGTGGAGTAGATGGAAGAAATGCAGGAGGAGAATAGTGAATTTAGATTATGTCACCTTCTCCTCCTTGTCCTCATCCTCGTCTTTACGAAAAATAATTTAACCCCAAAATATCAAGATTTTGTTTTCAACCATACTGAAGAGCTGCGACCACACATATGGCTTCGATATAGAAATATAGTGTGTCGGTTTTTGTATATTACATAAATAAAAATGTGTATCTTTAGATTTATTTAGAATTTTTAAAACTCCAATCGAGTGGAGATACCTTTGTATTCGGTAATATTTAAACTTTCCAGAAGATATAGCTAATTTATTGTAGTTAATCTAAACTCTCTATACTCTATGTATAAGAAAACATCAATTGTTTCGCGTCGCATAGAACGCCACCTTCATAATCTAGGGTTAAACTTAATGAATTGTTAATTCCTTTTTATCTCGCTAGAAGAACACGCCGCCGCGTCTGACTATAAACTACGGAAGAAATTTGCAGAGAAGTATCTCTAATCTAGAGCAATTGGCTGTCCTCCTTCGTATATTCGCTGATATATCATCCCAGTAAACGATCTAAACGGTTAAAACGTTTAAAATGGCAAAGAGAGTAATAAATACTGAGACACGAGGGAGGCATGAATTCTGCAAAATGGCTGTCGGAAGAAACTCCCTCGGGCCTCGTTTGAGACGCGCGTAAATCGGACTACTCTTCAGTTAAATCGGTTAAAAGTTCAATACTACGCACGACATCGTAAACAATTAGTAATCACGAGATAGAGTTATCAATAGTATAACTTACCTGTCGCGGACAGTTGACTGGTACTGTTGCTTTTCTTCCCGAGACCCGTCTGGTATTGGACCGCACTTCCGCCTCCACTGCTGCTGCCGCTTCCGCTTTTGCTCCCTGGCGAACTCTTGCGGACCCTTCGCGAACTGTCCTCTACATGCAAACTCACTGCGGTGTCACTCAGGCTGCCGTCTGATGAGAGAAAATCGAGTAAAACAGACAAGCGATGGCAGTGGGTGGATCGACTCGCAATAGGTTTCTCCATTCAAATAGCCAATTCGGACCAATAGACTGTATTGCAATATTAGAATTAAATTCGCTAATCACTTGACTAATCGGTTTTGGTTACTCGTATAAAAAAATTGTATCTAATATATTTCTATCTTAAATCTTTCTATCCCAATCATTTTTGCTATACCTCTCTGTCTTTGCTACATCTTCCTGTTCCATTTACTCTTCTCTATTTACAAAGAGACAAGAGTTCACATAATAAAATATTATAAGAGCGTAATTAAGTGATCGCAGTGGAACAGAATCATACTAATTGTAAGTAACGGCTTACTGTAGGATCTAACTCGCGTATGAACCACATTCAGCAGTTCCAATTTAATTATTACAAATTAATTAGAAAAGGTATAGAGACGGTCTGAACGGATTTATATTTATACCAGTTATGAACGTTATGAGATGAAAGTATATCATTAGTTTTCACATAGTCATATACGTAATCTACTCGTTGCTAGGGTTAGGTTACTATAGAAATTTAAAGCTATTTTATGAGAAGCACAGCTAGTGAAAGAAAATCTGACTATTCTCTTCAATGTGCTATATAAACGTAATTGTACCTATACTATTTAATCTTCTCGGAAAAGTGACGAAGTGTTAAAGAAACAAGGAGCAGAAAATAAAGTAAAAGTTATGTACTTACCGACTTTCTCGTCCGGAGGTACGTCAGCATTACTAAGACTCCTGGTAAACTGTCCCCTTTTGCCGTTGTGACCATTTCCCGGAAGTTGATGTCTGGAGGACTTTTCGTACGATCCGGACTGAGCGTACTCGCTATTTTCAGGCATCGAAGATGAGCGACGACAATGATCACGAGTCGAGTCAGGGTCATCATCATTTTTGACGCCGTTGTCATCGTAATCATGAGGATCGTTATTATTTAGTTTCCGTTGGAGTCGTCGTGAAGAGGAGAAGGATGAGGGTGCGTTGGTATCGTTGACAGTTCCAGTAGCGACAGTCCCGGAGGCAAATGACGACGAAGAGGACGAGACCATCGTGGTGCGGGATGTTTCGAGGTCGGATTCACCGGTAGATTTGGAGCGTCGTCGATTTCGTGCGTAGTTTTCATCGGCGGGCCGATGAGCGTTTTTAGCAGTGTCGGAGGTAGCGGTTAAGGAATCAAAGATATTTGAATTAGCGTTACCGGGGCGGGGTGCTCGGTTAGGGGGCCTACGTGGATCGCACGGGCCAAATCCGCAGGTTTCGCTGCACTGACTCTCGCTTTCCATCGAATATTCATAGTACTCGAGGGTGTCGCTGATCGCGACATTTCTTTTAGCGCTTTGCTGTGGCTGCTGCGGCATCGCATCGCGTACCTTTTTCCCTTTAACATTTCTCGGATCTGATTTCGATATTTCTACGTCTCCTTCTCTATACTGTGCTTGTCTATCGTCAGCGTATCTTGACGTATGACCATTCGAACAATTGCTACTACGTGGCTGATCTCTGAATCGTGGTAAATCTAATCTACAATTGTCTGAGAACACTACCTTATCTTCGTTTACATTAATGTTCGCGTCCTTCAGCTGGTTCAGGTCTAAATGAGAGGCGCGAAAGGATCTTAAGTACTTGCGAGAAGAAAAGTCGGTAGAAACGTTGAGTTCCTCGTCGGAATGTGAACGGTCAAATGGTACTCGGGAACCTGAGTCGAGAGAGAGGCCACGATTGCCTTTGCTCTCTCGGTCATATCCGGGTCCGATGACCGTCTCCGTCGAACCGAACTCTTCGTCGGAATCGTATATGGGTACAGATGAGGAAGTGAACTCAGACCGAGGAAAAGAGTCCCTGTATAATTTAATAGTATCACTTGTCTCGGGACAGCTACTGTTACGTTGACGTCGTCGTAGCCTGTAGCGGTGTTCGTCGTCGGAATTGAGGACTGGCGAGGATTCAGTCCGCCTAAAAATTCTTCCTCTTCTCATTGCATTGTCCTGAAAATTGCGGGATGACTGCAAGTAATCGCACACAGTCTCAACATTTTTTCTGGTACAATTACTCGAAGATAGTTTTCCAGTTTTCGGATGCAAAGTACATTTCTGAAAGTCCCTATCACTAGGTATATCCAAATCACTTGGATTACTCCAATATTCCAATTCTTGCGGATGAGAGGAATTATTGAATCGAGCATCAATATATTTGCTTTGCTGTGATTCCTGGCAGCTTTCAAAGTCGCAAGTGGGCCATAGTTTCCAATCATTCGAATGATCTCCGTGCAGTTCGAGATCTTCTTCCGGATGCGAATAGCTTCTAATTCTTGATCGAGACTCGCCGAATCTTTTATTACCATGGCGAGTTTGAGTTTCCTGATCAGCTCGATTAGAACGTTGTGTGGTCGATAAGGCCTCCTCGATACTGCAGTAAATATGGTTCGCGGAGTTGTCGATAAGGTTCATACAGGGAGACTCTAACGTGTCAGGATAATTATTCTCAAGACTTCTGGTACGCTTCTCCAGGGACGTGGCTCGGTTAGTTTTTAAAGTGTCATCTAGGAAATATGAGTCGGAGTATTTTCTCTTGACAGGATCATCCCTGGCGAGGATATCGGAATCTCTGTAACCTTTGACCTCAACGACGGACTCAATGCTTTGCTTGTCAAAGTTTGGGACATAGATTTCAGTTTCACCACCGCTCAGTTCAGAATCGTATCCATAGAATGTGCTAGCTGAGAGTGGGTGAACTGATTCGAAAACGTTGTTATCACCACTCGAGTCATAATACGACTTGCTCTGATCTTGGAGCGCTTGGATCTTATCGCCGTAACCAGAATCACTGAGCGAAAGATTTTTTTTGAGTTTGCGTCTGGCAGTCCTTAAACTATCGTCGCTAAATATGTTGCTTGAGATAGACTCGTACTCGAAGCTCTTCGCTTTTCGAGGTCGAAATTCGAAGAGAGATTGATCAGGGACAACCTCATACTCGAAGCTTCTGGTTTTGGGAAGAGAGCGAGTACGAGACTGAACAGCGAAGTGATTCCTGATGTTGAACTTATCAAGGAAGTTGAAAGGTGGCAGCTTCGGTTTCGTGATGCGTGCTGCTATCTCACATGATCTGCGAGAGGCTGCGCGAGGAAAAGAACCGGTTCCAAGAACGTAACGCGAAGAGCCAGCACGCTGATGAAACTTATCAACGAGGCGGTCGTTAAAATCGACCTGAAGACAATCCTCAATATAAATTTCCGGAATGCGAGTCGCGTCTCGCCCCGTGAGTATCTCTGGCTTAAGGAGGTATCCCTCGGAGACGTTGTACTCACTAGTTTCAGGACTGTAATAGCGGAGCATCTTTTCATCGACGGTTTGTGATCTTGTGAAGGGGGTACGCATCTTTCGGTAAAGCGAGCGGACAACTGCGGACTTGCTCCGTACGAGGGGATGTGGAGGAGGGTGGTGCTGCTTAGGGTTGCGTCGGGTCTTCGGGGGATTGTTTGGGCAGTGACATTCGCTGCAGGGTACCCTAAGTCTGTGCCTGCGCCTATTGCGCCTAGGGGCGGGGGGCATCGGGGATACGACACCGGGTATTAACACGTTTTTAATTGTCGGTCTGGAAACAATTTTTATATAGTGTAGTGGCATTCCTTTCGAACACTTTCGTAGGCCCATTCTTCCTCTTCCTATGACGCGGCTAGCTGAACGAGCTCGACGGTTTAAAGATTCTTAAAATTTTCGAAGATATCTTATTACGTGTTGTAGGGCCATCGACTTTCAATTGATTGTTTGTTAAAAACAGTAAGAGCATGGGCAATTATCGTAACAAGGTTCGTCCAGCCAACCATGCGCATTCATCCCTGATTTCTTAGAATGGGACGCAGAGCTATTAAATGGACATTGCGTGATCTCTCCAGCAAATGCAGCTATATGTGAAATAAATAGGGCGAGGGACGATGGTATTAATGGCAAGGGGTAGGAGAGGAATAGCAGGAGATGAAAAAAATAAAAGAGAAAACAATTACTTTGATTGCTTGAAGGAGCTGAGAGCAACAGCTTAAGTAAAATTTAAACAAGGTGCTATGATGGAATCAGCGGCATCTAATGTGCTGATACTTGGGTCCACTCTCGATTTACTCGACAATGTCCATTTAATTCAGGGACTATCGTCGAGAGTATTGACTGCCGAAAAATGACTCCTTGACTTTTTGTTAAAGACACGAACGAAGATATGAATTAAAGTAGAAAAGAAATAGAGCTTTATGGCAGTCAGTCTCCCTACGGGGCGCACTATACTATTGCGAGTGTTGTTATAAAGTTAACGCGGCCTATCATATGTCTTTAAGAATAACTGATTTGAGTCAAGATTTAAAACTAGTATCGGAATAAGTAACGATCGATACTCACATCAGTCCCCGTGAACCACGTGGTCTTTCTGACTGTGTACTGAAGGCACTACTCGTGACTGAGGCGATGCTTTCCATGTCTGAGTCACCCAGGTCGCCGAGAACATCTTTGTCAGGACTGAGATGCCCTCTTCGAGGTCTGCGCATTCTGTGGGCATGACTATGTGACAAGGACAAGGGATCGTGTCCCATAGAAGGAAGATCCGAATCCGAAAGCCCACTGTAGTGTCTCTCCCAACCTGTCAATAAATTTTGCTGATTAAATTGGTCCAACTAAAAAGTTAAATGTCATAACTCATAAATTATTTGATCAACTTTTACATCGCCAATCACTGATCCTTATTGAATCACAATGATTAAATTGAGTTTAGAGTCTGGATATGGTAGATAAGACCGTTTTCGAAGGGTTCAGGCTCTAAATCGAAATTTATAAACTTTATTTTGTTCCACTATATCCCATTTCAAAACTAAAATATTAAATCTTGTTTATTCCGAGAGATTCTGACTAGGGATTTCAATACAAAACATCCAGAGCGAGATGCGAGCCTTAGAATATACGAAATTTCGAACAACACCAAGCATATAGGTGTGAACGGCAATCTTCACTTAAAAATTTAAGAACGTAGAACAATGTAGTCTAAAATGGAGTGTGTAACAATTTTGTAGAATCAACGGGTCTCTGTCAGTATTAGGAGCCGTTGTCAAACTTAGTATTACATCTCCAAGTCCTTCCTGTAGGATCTTGTGGACTCAAACTGGAGTTACGATTCAGTCGACAAACGAAGAAATTAAAGAAATGAGTGTTTTAGAAGCTCAAAATAGTTTTCTACTTTCGACATGAGTAACGTTATCATTTCATTATTAATTATATCGTGATATTCGATAACTTTATTATACTTTCAGACCAATAAGAAATTATTTGCGTAGTTGTCATTCAACACATGATTTTTCAGTTTTCTTGCAGCCTGTCACATGATCCATAAAGTGTTACGAAACCCTTGAGAGTGGAACGAATGTTGACCAATAACTATGAGTTATAAAAAAATGAATATTTTCAAGTTACGTTTTAATTGTAATGTAATTGGAGACTTGCTAGGCGTAGCAGGAGCTAGTTTCTTAATTGTCGATTAAACGAAGAGAGAAACGTACAAAGATCTTACCTCCCATACCAGTGCTCCTATACGTAGTGTGCACCTGTCTATTTCGATGCTTAATGAACCGCGTCCTTTCTTCTAAATCCTGAGCAACTCTGACTTTAAGGGCCGCATGAAGATTTGCGGGAATCTGGGGTAGCTGCCGTTTCTTTGGTGAACCGGTCGGCGTCGCTGTAGCTGATCGGGATCCAAATCTGAACAAAAATTACAATATAAACTAACTTAATTGAAATAATATCAGAATTTAAAAGATCTCCGTATTTTTTTTTTTTTTCATCTACTTCACTGTTTTCTTACGGAATACAACTAGGAACCATTACGAACGCGTATAATGTAATTCGAGGTAAATTATTAGCATTTTAATGAAATTCAATCCCTTGAAAAATTCCACAATAATAAGTGAAGCTACAGATCGAGGCAGTGTAAGTTTGGTAGAGAAAAAAGCCAGTAAGAAGGATAACGCGAAAAGAAGAAAAGAACGACAAGAATGTCAACGAAAATAATATTTCTGAACCCCCATAAGATGTTCTTCTACCGCATAAACAATCAAAACGACTGAAGGGACCAACCTGGTGGGCACATATCCGTGGGAGTAAGGAATCGACCTGTGTTCTGGTGGTGAAAGAGAACGATGTCCAGTTGGACTCTGTGGCCTTCCACGATAGTGAATACTCGGCGAGTCCATGGGGGCAGCACTATGCGATCTGTGACTCATCATCCCACGATGTGAATCCTCCTATAAAAGAGAATTGTCAGAAGGTGATTTAAAAATTGTATTGGATTTCGAGGTATCGGTCGAACTACTTTAATTTTGTTATACATATATATTATAACGTACGTACCTTCCGGCAATGCTGATAGCCAGAAACGCTGCTGGGTTGATCTCGGGAAATCATGAGTGCTGCTCTTTTACGTCCCTGTGGAGACATGTCCCTGCGACTGCGATGTTCCCCGTCAACACCCAACTCCCTCTCGGGCGGCGGGCTGGAATAGTGGCTGCTCCAGCAAGAGTTCATTTTTTCCCAATTAGTGATTGCAGTGTCGCTTACTCTTTAAATGGGTCGAGTGCTATGATCTTGCGCTAATGATAGGCCGACGGTTACCGATCCGCGGCTGGTTCCTTAATCTTATGTCCACTTTAATTCTCTTTTTCCCTTTTATTAGACTATATTATTTTATATTCATTTCTATTGGCGTGCATTCTTTTACCAAATCTCTCGTCTAACAAGTTGAACTATTAGAAACCAGTCGAAGATCGCTCGTCATTGCTCGAACTTTTCTAAAAAAGCTATGAATCCTCCCCGCTTTTCAACGCATTCACGTTTAATCGCACATATTATGTTGATAAGAATCCTGACCTCTGTTTGCTTTTTTAAAGTCTTCTTATCTATGTTGTAATTGGTAAAACATAATAATCATATACGAAACGCGTAGCATCTTTTGATTTTCGCAATATGAATAACAAGTACCATCAATATAAATTGGGTGAAGAGGCTCAAGTACTCTTTCAACAATTTGATATGACTGGTATTTTCAGTGCTTGAACTAATCATTAATTTAATTAGGAAATGTGAAATAATGAAAAGTTCACGTAGGAATTTTAAAGGCTTTGTCAGAATTTCACTTGGCAAATCATTATGTCGTGAATTTAAGTAGATGAATGTCATTAAAACTAGAGTTACAATGTTTCATTGTACTAAAACTCACAAAATACAGAGCCACATCGTTGAAACGTTAAAAGAAACTAATCCGTAAGGAAGATGGTATTAACTGAAATTTTAATAAAAATTGACCATTTTCTAAAAGTTAAAATGTTAAAATCAGATTTTTAAAGTGTCATCTTCTTTTGCAACAAGAAGTTATATTTAAATAATATTGCTCCTCTTATGCTGTTCAAGTCTTATGATCTAAAATAAAAGCTTTAAATAAGAATATATAATTGGTTCAGTCATGTTAAATAATTATCTGATATCGAGAAATTCAATAGGACTACGTTAGGCATTCAGAATTTATTGAAGTAATTTTATGAATTACGCAAAACAGTTTCATTTTCTTTATAAGGTTTTGGCACCTATTTCGTCACTGATTCGAAGGGATGATCAAACTGCTATTTGTAAAATATAGGTTTTAATTTTGTATCTATCTATACCTATATATATGTTTGTCAAAGAGATATTTTGGGGATACGGAAAATCAAGGGGCGTTCACAATAGCAAGTCAATATTTTTTTTTTAAACTACCACCTTGGGACATCATAGCACTGGAGTTCTGACCTAATCTAACCTAACGAAACATTTCTAAACCCATAAAAAATACTGGTTGCCTAACATTGAAAAAAATATAAACAAATTTGGTCAGACAGCTTTATGGTCCTCAAAACAGTCATTACACTGGAAAATCTTTGAGGACGGTCCACAAAACAGCCACTTGTCCTCAAAATAGCGACTTCCTAAATGAAATCGTCCCCAAAGTATCACCCAACAACAAATATACATACAAATATATAAACGAAGAAGTTCGTACGTTCCTATATGTATACATATACATATACGTTACCTCAAAACATACGTTACTCTTTTCCTGATTGATAAATCTAATCTTCAGGAATAACCTAGGTTACAGTTGAGGCAGGACATCAGTTTCACTATGAGGGGACTTATTTACGTTTCAATTCATAAGGAAATGGGCCTTCAAAGATTTATGTCAAAGGGGGGCTCAGCAGAAAGCTAAAATCTAAAGCAAGTCGGAAAAACGCGGACGAAGTCGCGAGCAGAAGCTAATTTTGAATAAAGGCAAGGCATGTAGATTTCGAAAAGCAATTATTTTATCCAAACTCCAAATCTTATTTTATTTATATGTATAAAATAGCATACATGTTGGACGTGGCAAAATTTGCCGTCACATTTCAAGGGTAGCTCTCGCGTTATTAGGCGTGACGGATTACCGCCACGCACTCTAAACACCATCACGGCAACACACTCCATGGATCCTACTAAAATTTCTAGTATCTTGTATAAACTGACACTCTTTTTGTATCTTAACTTCACTTATAACGGGACATTACGGACGGAGCGGAGAGCAGACAGAACGCCCAGCTGTCCGTGGTGGTGAATAGATGCCTTGCAAATTCGCTTAATACCGGTGAATTCTGAGGTTCGAATAACGTGGAATTTTTCCGGCAATCTTGCCCTCTGTTATCATTCTCGAATCCTTCTGATTCGAGACTATTTTCGTAATCGGGAAAATTCCGTGGTTATAGTCTCTCTTACTATTGTAACGAAGAAGTGTATAATTTAGATTAGTATTATTGCGTTCTAATAGAGTGATTTTCTGGATCCTGGAGTGTGGCCACTGAGCCTACGTATCGTTATTGCTTCTCAATATCAAGACGTACCTTAGTATATATTTGCTATCGTCTTACTTTGCTTCGATTATTTGAAAGAATTAAGACTCTGTAAATTAACCTGTTTCTTATTTATTTCATTCTCGCGAATATTAGTTTTATTCACCATTGTCTTAGTACTGTTATCTCTGTGCTGTATTCTGTTCAAATTTCGAAATACTGTGATATGCCGTTGCATAGCGTTTTCTAGTAATAGTGCTATCGTAATATTCCAACTTTAGGGCTATCGGTCCGTGAAGGATGCGCTATTAGCTACGCCTATGTAGTACGGTGGCTAGGGCTATCGTACGATTCTTACACGACAAGTACTATTTTTCTTGTAATCTATACGCGACCGATTTTCGGCATATCACTCCCGTTATTCATATTGTCCATATTGTAGTGCAAAACTTTGTTCTTCCGTACCCGAGTATTTCACGTAATGGGGGACTTACCTATCGAGCGGTCTACCCTTCTGCACTTATTGTTTTATTTATATCCTAATAAAAAGGGCTTTGTTATAATTGGTTGAAATTCGGCTCTGTGACTTTTCGTGATTTTGCGAACTCCCAATCAAAGATCCCCGCCCCGCTATCCTTGCTGTTTCAGGGTGAACAGGCTGAGCTAGTGTGTTGTCAATCGAGTTGTCGTGAGAGCGGTTATCGGATATCTTGATTCGTGAAATGGGTATTCCTAGAGAATATCTCGCGCCCAGGTCTTTTGCCGGTTATAGTCTCGATTGTTGCTCTCGCGAGAATTCGAGAATTTGTGACGGGATATTTTGTTTCTTCCGCGACTCAGGTTTTCACGCCAATAAATATTCACGTTACAATGTATATGTCAGTCCGAAATTATGAACATCATACTTTGTAATACGTCCAATGTGCTAAAAATATTTTTTGGAATCTGTAAAAATATACAGGTTAATCACAAGGAACTGATGTCAGGATACTTTAAACATTTTATTGCTATAACGACTAAAATTATCATATTCAATTGACGAATAAAATATATACAGGGTGTTCTGAAACTACCTGACCCGGTGGGTATGGCGGTGTTCGGGAGGCTTCACTGATCACGAAAATGATCTTTTTTTTATCCGGAAGGTCATAGTTTTTAAATGGGAGCAGGTCAAAGTTGACCAATCAGCGGGAGGCGTCAAGAGAAACCTAGGCACCTACGAACTCTGAGTTTTCTTCCCTCGCTTTTGTTTTTCGGTGGCTTGTTTCTTGTTTCTTGTTTCCAATAAGCATGTCTTCGGCTGACGTCATCCTGCCCGAAGCCACCGAGAAACAAAAGCGAGGGAAGAAAACTCAGAGTTCGTAGGTGCCTAGGTTTCTCTTGACGCCTCCCGCTGATTGGTCAACTTTGACCTGCTCCCATTTAAAAACTATGACCTTCCGGATAAAAAAAAGATCATTTTCGTGATCAGTGAAGCCTCCCGAACACCGCCATACCCACCGGGTCAGGTAGTTTCAGAACACCCTGTATATATTTTATTCGTCAATTGAATATGATAATTTTAGTCGTTATAGCAATAAAATGTTTAAAGTATCCTGACATCAGTTCCTTGTGATAAATATATTTACTTTGTGCCACAAGTACAGAAACTATGCAATCGCATCTAGTACATTTGTCATCGCAACTGAAACAAATTTCCCGAACTTGCTGGTTTAAAAACGAAATATACTTGAACCTAATTGAGACCAAGATTTACCAGAAATTTTCTATGAAGACGTATTTACGTATGCACGCACATAAACATTTTTTGGCTTGGCGATTACATAAAACATACTTCCATGTTTCATGTGGCTGTGTCAAAAAGACACACGTTCTATAAATTGGAAGCTAATATAGTTACCATTAGAGAATAGTAAAGCGTACTAATATTAATGCTTTGGGGAGAAATTTTAACTATCATTGCTATTATAAAAAAAATTAAGATAATAGCATCGCTGAATAATCTAACGGTTTACGAAATTCAAACCAAATACAGGCATGATATGCGTAATATTACCTCATTTGTGAACTAATACAACGCAAAGAATATATTTGTATCGTTAAAGTATACCATGGTGAAAATAGACGAACTACACAAAACGATCGTTAAGCAGTGAACAACTTCACAATATTTATAGTAACTGTTCAAAGTCAATCATCAAATTACTTCTTTGAATTTTTTACTTGTCACAAAAACCAGTTTAAAAAGTGATTGTGGATTATTAGATAATCTGTGTCTATATTAAAATATTTTGTGGGCATCATTTAATCCTGAATTAAGTATTATTCTTACTGAGCTTATTTGAAAGATCATATAACGCATTACTTGCAACTGTTTTGAATTCTTGTTCTATGTATTTTAATAAGTTAATAATGTATGCTTGATACGTTCAAGTAATAATAACTCCATGTATTTACTTTTTTAAACTGAAAAACAAAGAGACCCAAATGACAGCTAATAGGCTGGGAAATTGACAGTTTACCTATAAACCTTCACAAAGATTCTACATTTCTATTTCTAGTAGTTGATGTAGTTTAGATGACGTTTGATGCAAAGGGGAAAAAGCAGTTTCTTTCTGAACACTTTTATATACAGCAGTTCGAGCTAGCAGAATACTAGTAGCAAGGTTGGAACTTAGGCAGGCCCTAGATTTGCGAAAGAAGACTTCTACTAGGAAGCTTATGCACAGCATGGTTACTTTGTGAATTACTAAAATATCATGTGAAATATTATTACGGATATAAACATAAGTATTACACGTTTGGGATGGCTAATTGATTGCTAAGTTAGTATAACATTTTGAATCTAAAAATATATAATAGAAGTCTTTATAATATTAAAAAATATAAATTTTCTTTGGTCGTTAAACGATTTTCGAAATGATACATAGCCAGAAATCTTGTTAAAAACTTAATTTTCTTTAAGATGCACCAAACAATCTTTTTAAATAAATTAAAATATTGATTCTCATACGGCTTATAACATCATTCGGGTTTTCCAAAGTGATATATGTGTAAATTAAACTGATATATTTAATATATAACTTATAAAAGAGGTAGATAGTTAAGAGCACGTATTATTGATTTTATCGTATTTCCAATAATTAAATGTATCCATATTGCGAAAAAAATATAATAAAATAAATAAGTTAGCATTTCATGGCTTTAAGAGTGATTTGAAAATAAAAGTGGAAGAAAATTGAACAAAAGAAGGTCCTATAGCACCTCTTACTGTCTATAAAATTTCAGAATAGGTCATCGCCTATTTACAAGAAATACTTCATCTAGCAAGTCAAAAAATATAATACATATCGCAAGAAGAATTGCATATTATAATCATTTTCATAGTTTTTTTTTCATTCGAATTATGTAGATCATTGACTAGTCGGAACTGAGATCATCAATAAATCTAAGCTTAATCCTCCAAATACAAACAATTACCTCTTTTCCATTTTGAAAGATGTTTTTGTAACACCATACAATATTACACCGTTACATGTATTTGTCAGACGCATTATAATCAGGTCTACACAAACAATTGACAAGTATTAGTATCACAATAAACGTCAATAAATATGGTTTTATCCTTGATGCCAATGTGTTACATATAAATGTAAAAATTTCCACCATTTGCATTGATTCATTGCAGTGCATAAATCCGTATCAAAAAATTCGATGGAGTCTGGTGGCGAAATATTGAATGCAAAAATTCGAATCCGTTTTATTGAGAATAGTAACTGAGAATATTAAGTAAAATCAGAATTTAATACCAATAAAAAATCAGATTCCTGATATAAATAAAATATGGGACTACCTAAATAGAAGTTGAATGAGAACAAGAAATGCGAGTAAAAGTGAATGAACGTTAGCCGGGAAGGAATGAAGTGACTATATCTAACTAAATCCCTCTACATATTTCCATTATGACACAATTGTAATAAATAGCGCCAATTATGCACTTCCTATCGTTTATACGATAAAATTAGATCTTCGAACAGATGCGGTAAGCTGAGAATGAGCGAAAAAATGGTAGCTGCTTTTAAAGAAATTATTATAATATGACATCGGTTTTATCTTATTGATGATTTGTACACCCCGGGCTACCACTGAACTATGTTTTGTGACCCTCGATTTTGTAAACTTAATGTTCTGACATGTGACGTTTAAAAAAATGATTTTAACGTTTCACAATCAAAGGTGAAACATTGAATGCTTGTCGATCAGCGGTCACTTTTACACCGTGTAGAATTCAAATGAAGTTAACTAATAATCCTGTTTTTAAAAGTCATTGGTTAATTCCATTTGAAAAACGGTACCATGAAAATGTGATCGATGTCTTTCGTGAATTGATGATTCATGAAAAAGTAGAATTTGAAAGTTGTCGTACCGCTTATAATTGGACGACATATTATGAAACCTAAAAATAATAACAAAACAATGATTAAAATTACGAGAATCTCGAGTGTCGCGACTACAAAATTGCGTCACGCTTACAATTTACCAATGCATGCCCCATACACGTTATACGCAGGAAATGTGTGCACAGTATAGATACGCCCAATTCTGTGTATAACAATCTGCTCATTTATCATGCCAAGTAAATTCGCAAGATAACATTTTCACGACCTCGATTACGTTAATAATAAACGATACTAGCTGATGCCACATCGCACCACGATGCATCTATCAGTGCACCAAAGAAACCCTTTAGCTAATCCCATTAGAAGATGCGGCCAGTTATTAAACGTACATATGTGTTAGTCGATATGCCTTCGAGAATATGTGCGAACAAGGCCTTATTGCTCATGCGCATATACAGGGTGTTCGGAAAGTCGCAGACATCAATAACGAGATCGGATTGTACTTGAAAAATTAAAAAACACGTGCTTTAGAATAATTCATTCATGAAAATAAAATCCAAAAATTAAAAGAATTTAAAGTATATAATTATTACAGAAAGAGTTCACGTGGTAGCCCTCATTCTCTGCCTTAACGAATCGTAACCACTTATTTCGCATATTTTCTAATACATTATAGATATTCTTTCTTATTTACTTTTACACGCATAAATATTTTAGCTTCAAGAAATTCGTTTTTAATCTACTCCATTCGTGTATACATCAACTGCTTTTTCCAGCATCATTAAGTATTCAGAACTGATAAAATCATACAATTAGGTATAACTTGTGTATTACGTTGATTTGACCGTTTGGGGCATTTAAAGACATAATTTGGGGTATTAGATAGAATTGCATAATATGGAGTAAAGCACCTTAGCATTAGGGTCCTATACACGAAACATGATTTTTGCAGAATTTTATACACCAAAGAACATCTGCTATCATGCCATTGCCACACGTTGGCACATTTCGAATTTTTACCAGGAAATACGTAACGGTAATCTTTTAATTTTTCATGTAAATCTCAATTCTGTCATTGACTTTTGCTACTTCCCGATCACCCTATTTGTAATATACATATATATATATCGAACTCCTATTTTCTTTTTACATCGTTTTCCTATATGTTTGTGATTCACACATTTACTGCGCATTTCGTGGACATCCGTATCGCAGGAGTGATTAGAATAAAATTTACATATGTATATATATATATAGATACTGTAATCAGATGGCAATGCTAAATTGTTAAGCGAGATCTACACTATGCCAATGAACGTGACTACAATACAATTTTACACATCCGTTCGTGTGTCTTTGCACTGTTTGCATAATGTAGACCCAGCTTTGTGCAACTGCATGCCTAAACGTTGAAAAAAAATAATTTTATTTATTTTTCAACACACCGATGTATATATATGTAACGAATTTATCTGATGAATGTTTCAAAATGATTTTCAGTTGATTTCTTCTTAAAGTAAGTCGGAATCTGAACGAGTTAAGAAAATTTGTCTTTTTTTTACAAAAAAAAGGTGTATACTATTACCAAAGAATGAATAAAAGAAAGAATAAATGTAACATATACTTCGCAGAAAAAAATGTCTTATTACTGTTACTATTATTATTATTATTTCTGCAAAACAATGCATAATAATAGTCACAGGAAGTATAACATACATTGAAGCGCTTATAATTCTTCGTTGCTGTAATTAATACTGTTAAATTTATCAAATATTGCACCAATTACGATAATAACAGTAGCAAGCATAAAATTTCAAATATATTAACTATATTTGTATAAATACATCACTTTATGCAGAAATCAACTATTTCAAATTTTAGCCTGGCTTATAGATCCATTTGGTATTTTAGATTCACTGTATGTACATTCGTTTTTCGAACTCTTATGAAATTATGAAAAATTACAACTAATAGACAAACTTAATAATTGTATAATTGTTAGGCGTTTTAAGTATATTGAGTTACGCGAAACATTAATGTAAGTACAATTGATGAAAGCATTGAATATGGAATAGAAAAAAAGGGCTACTGTGAAGCAGCTTGAAGTTTTGTTAGGATTATGCGAATGAGATAATGCAATGATGTAATAAACACGGGTATCATTGAACCACGGTACACTCACTAGTAACGATCGGATGTCATTGCCGAAATATTAATTCAGAAATGGTATAGGGATGGCTCCGCAGCCAACGATGGTTGCAGGCCAACTGGCATGTCAGTTGGCTTGTTGCCCAACCTTATAACTCCGCTCCTCATCCTCTTTGGTCTTCCTAACCCTCTTTCCTCGCTCCCTTTTACTCCCTTTACTATCTTCATTCGCTCGCTACGACAATCCATCTCTCTTGCACTTTCCTTCTCCCACTTGCTTTCTCTTGTTCGCGTTCTCCGTCTTGTTAGTTGCGATAGAGTATAGGCTTACGTCAGAATGACAGAGCCATAAGACGAAGACAAGAGACTGCGATTTTATGCCGAGTCCTTTTACCGATTCTCCATGTTAGAAAATTTTGGCAAGGAATACCGTAGTCTATGCTCTAACCGTCGCGATGATCCTCCGGAGGACCACGAAGACGTCCAGCTGTCGAGGCCACACCCCTCGTGCCAGTTTCAGAAACTTCAATTTAAGCAGAGTGTATACGAGCTTTTCAAGTTAGAATGAGTAAGGGAGGAAGCAAGTTTTATTATATGTATATATAGTCTTGAAATGTAATTAATTATTTAATTTATTGTTGCATTGTCTTTGTGAAAAATTCAAAAGTATTCTTACGTATTCCACGTTATGTGAAAATAAGAGAAACTTATGGCATTAGTTGTAAGTGAATTTACTGCAACTGATATTGATTTCCAATTTAAACTTAGCTGTGTTCTCAAGAACATCATAACTCACTTTTTACTAGTATTTTGAAATTAATTTAGGGTTTGACTCTAGAATGTAAAGTTGTGGTTAATTCCTATTTTACTTGTAATAATCGTATTGTTGTTGCATCGGTCATTGTTCATATGTAACTTTTCTGTTGGTCTACTTATTTGAACTGCTTTTTAGGGAGAAGGAACAGAGTATTTTCATCTTGAAAGTGCTTGCCCTTATTGTACTTTTTGAGCGGATCGTTTATGATAGGTATTTGACTGTCGGTTTTATCATAAACAGAATCGATAATTATTTTCTTTTACACCAAAAACCATCATAACCCAGTCTTTGACATTCCTGATACAATACTGACTGTGGAGCTTTGGTTCATGATGAGCTTTACATGAAATATTTGGAAATTTGTAATAATATTGCTTGCAATGTCAATCCAGCGCCATCTACACATCAACTTCAGCACAGACAATAATCTCTGTTAGAGAGTTTCCTTTTCTATATCCGTAAATATAATAATCATGCTAAATAATAAATACGTTTTCACTAGTGCTGAAGAATTCGACAATTATTAATAGCTTGACTTTATATATTATAATGCTTTTCATCCGAATGCAAATTAGACTAACAAGATTTCCCTCTTTAAGAAAAAAAAGTTACTTATAATATGCATCTGGTATGTACACAAAAATTACTTGGTATGTACAAGTATCATCTGCTGTTTTTCTATTCTATATTACATACGACAATGGTATATGATCAATTTGATTACTTTCAATTATGTTTCCGACGTGTAAAATTGTATGACTCTCCTCAAAAGTATAAGTATATTAAACTCATAGATATTTCGATGCATTTTGTAGGTCGCGTCATCATCATCTGTTTTTCTCTAACGAATCTGTTACATATGTGGAATCATCTGTCAACCAGTACTTTGTCCATAGACAGAAAGTCTTACTTTCCAATTGGCTGCTCGAAATACTGTGTTTGTGGACTGTATGTCGTATTTGTCTACTCGCATGAACTCATTGTCGCGATCATGCGATAGATCCTTAAACTCGTTAAGCGTATTTCTTAAAAATTAACGAGGCGGGGCCAAACCAGTAACCGGATAACAAGAAGGCAATGTGTTCATTTTTGAGCAAAGCATTGCAACGACTATATACTTAATATTAATAATTCAAGCTTGAAAGGTCTAACTTTATGGGATTTTAAGTAAATGAACTACTCTCATACAAGTTAGAAAAATTCAGAAATGTTCTCTTTGAAATGTGATATATTAGATTCGTTTGTTTATGCATTTTGAAAACGAAACACCACTGAAATACTACACTACATTTCCACTGCTCGACAATTAAACAGAATAAACCAATAACATTGATTTATTCATTTTATATTACACATGTAATTCATTAATACTGTTTTTTTTGGCATTGAAATGATGGTATCATTACTCAGCTTACTAATTTCCGTCTTTAATAATTTAATCCACCTCACCAAACGACAATGTTACGTTTTGGTAAAGATGTACTTAATGTAAGCTTGTGAATATCATAAATTTTAGGGTTATGAGGGTGAAGGCTACTTATTAGATTGAACAAAATTTTATATAAAAAATCGTACGCAAACAATAATATCTAATGTTATTAAGTGTTTAAGGGCCTATAAAATATTAGTGATTACACGATGATCGTGAATTATTCGCTTTTTAAATTTTCTAGTGTTAACGAAACACATCACATAACCTAACTTATAAATCATAAAATCATTAGTTTGACATTTTTATATAAAAAATCTGATTGAATACTTTCATAACAGATTGTACTTCGTATGAAGTAAACGCTATGGGATTTCTTCTTTATTTCACAATAGTCTCTGATAAAAGTGCAATATAAATGACGTTGTACCGTTAATTTGATAAATATTTATGCGTAAAAATCGAGTAATTCATGATTATCATGAATTTTCTTGGAATATGATTTTGCTGCAGCCCCAAGTCTTTGGAATGGCCTAAAATAGAGTCCCTCTAGTAAGAGTCCGGCCAACACCCGGAAAGGACGCTATATGAAGGGCTTGCCTGGCGCCACCATGACATTGCGCCAGACCGGTCGAGTTTCGCGCCAACTACAGGCAACCCGCCCTACAGGGCTTAACACTACCCACACTACACAATGCGAATCTCTCCCATATACGTATTCACACACACCATTCTATTTCGAAAAGAGCCCATAATATGGCGGAGCCAATCACTAACAAGCCCCACTGTTGGCCGGACTCTTACTAGAGGAACTCTAGCCTAAACAGGCTCGGGGCGCCATCTTGAGTTTCAAATCATGAAAATATGAATAACACGAACTATTGATAGACATTCTTAGCTTAAGCGTGCCAGCCGATATACAGTTGTACAAAAACGTATACATACCCCTTTCAAAGATTAAGTTACCTCTCTCTGCGAGAAGTTGAGTGCAAAATAATTATTTTAAAGTTTTAGTACGAATATAATAGTATGGAAGACTAATTTATTTTGTCTATGAGTTTTATAACATATTGCATGCATGTTTTGCATCTCAAAAAATATACATAAATCATTTTTTTTATAGAATATGTATGATTTTTTGTGCAATTGTACATATGCAATATGAGCGCTATAAAATACTGTGACATGGTTCCAGTGCACAAGTGGTAAACAAAATTAATCAGTGTTTATCGATCACTTCTCAAGTGCACACATGGTTAATAAACTCCGTTTACAATTATTGAGATACGGTTGGAAATCATTATGGCACGATCGTCGATACAAATTAAAATGAACATTGTGTTGATTTAAGTGCACATGAAATATCTGAAGTCAGATTTCTTCGAGATATACCGATGGCTACACTTGAGCGAAGAATTTCTATTCAATCCGTGTTACGCCGTCTGCCTTTTCCTTTCTTATCTTGTCACAATAGGGTGGCTTTGCTTGTGAAATACTCGCACTAAGTCCCAAGTACGTTCTTTAAGGTATATATGAATTGAAATCTTCAGCATGTGACGTTTTTCATTATAAGGATGCTTGGGACATTTGTACTATCTGTGCTGATGTTGTCGGTGAAGATTTCTCATTGATTGCATCGCCTACCAGCGGGATGTTAGTACTACGTCAATCGATGCCTAAGACATTACCCATGTTGTTTTTATTTTTTCATTTGAAAATCGAAATTTGTGGTACCGTGATTCGATAATACGACGTCTTACTCTCTTATGTTTCAATTGATTCTTGAGCTATAATTTATCAAGATGTTATGTTATATGAATATTCCAAAGAGAATTTTCTTTGCAGAGTGAAGTAAATTTTTCGAAGATTTCTTGATTTTTATTTTAAGTCAATTTGGCCTAAAAACCCAGTACGGCATACCTGGAAGAGCTACCAATGCTGCTTATACTGGCCCCGTCAGCGGTTCTTCTTTGTTCCCTGGAGACGTCACAGTCAGTGATGTCACATTCAGATGTATCTGAATCACTTAACCTGGATGTCGTTGAAGGTGGACTCAGATGACAATCTACAGGTGTCGTTATTACCATGTCGTCCGAAGGTTCCTGATGGTGCCTATCAAGAGGTCAACGAAAAGAGAAAAATTTGTATCACATTCAGCGGTATTCGCTCGTATAAAAATAAGTTATCAGATCATCAGGAAAATGTGTAGATGTTAATAAATCCATGTTGTTATAAATGCAAAAAAGCCACCAACGAAAAAAATCAATTTGTCTTGTTGCAAAACAGATAAATATATTTAAAAAATGGGGGGCCAATTGAAGAATAGTAGTCGTACCCTGTATGCCTATGTTCCTCATGTGCGTTGAGAAAGTGCCACTCTGGTTCTTCGTCGAGAGCTGACATAGCGAGTTCCAGTATAACTTCCCCCAAGAAGTCATTTGCACCATACTTCACATAGTCCCAGACTGTGACCTCAAGAGCTCTTTGTCTTAGCTCGGATCTTCGTATCCCGTTGTAAACGAAAGTCTGATTCCACCTCGGATCGTTCGTATTTGCAAGAGTTTTCGTTCGCCGCTTCGATTTTTCACTGTAAACGCAGTTGTTAGAGATGTAAAATAATATATAGGACGTATGCAATAGTACATGAAAGTAAAGCGATTAACAATCGTCATTAGATTATGATAATGAAAATTCTAAAATCGAATTTAGAACATTTTTTCCAATTTTATTATAAGAATGGATTGAAAAATTTAAAAATAAATTCGACATGAACGTTTCGTATGACATTGAAAAATTAGATTTTTTCAATCAATGTTTTAATTAGACTTTATGAAACTTCCATGATATCAGCTGGAAGCCTTTAAAGTAATGACGCCCAGTGGCATACAATTCTGTATTAAATTCAAACAATTATCAATTTTTGGAAATCAATAAAATTCTATCAGAGATGTCGAATCCTATCAATAGATTTTTTAAAAACCAAGCCTTGGCCACATCGGTGGTCTTTTCAATATGCAGTTGGAAGATCCCGCCTAGGGGCCTCATTTACCTTAAAACTTATAAGATCGCCCGCTCGAAAGCTATATCACTTGTGGATGGACTATACTTCTCTACTTCTTCAGCAGGTCCTCAGAATGGTTAGTTGTATTTTAGCCAAACAATCGGACATAAGAGGGAGAAAATCCAGACACGCGATAATGTACGGAATACAGTTTCCTGCTAGATGGATGTAATTCATGAAATCTGGCATCTGAGCCAAATGCACTAGCCAAAGAAATACTTTAAGTCTGGATTCGATTTCTTTTTATTTTCGCTTGCTCTCATGACGCTTAAGAGATAATTCCACGTTTGATAGTTTATGTCAAAGCGCATTGCAGTGTTAATGCTGCATTAAGGTACTCGATGATAGCCATGCTACATTATAAGCTAAAGATATTTTTCTTAATGATAAACTGACTTTTTTTTCAAGAATAAACTCACCTTTTATCTGGAAGTAGGAATATCTTGGCGTAGGGATTCCTTGCTTGACCATTGGTTCGAGGGGTCAGACCTGCCGCACATACGGGAACGACAATCAGCTGAAGAGCCGCCGAGTCAAAGCCTAACTTCATTTGAAGCTGACCACCGACGTTTGCGTTTCCGGTTGGTTGTCGTGCACCGTGTCCCGTTCTTCCATGAGCATGACGATCTGGAGATCCGGGGGACGTTACTAAAACCGATGGTTTCTCTCTCCGCGCGTCGTAAAGCTCTGTAACGATCGCTACATTCATACTGGGAACTCATTCATTGGATTCTTATCCGATTCTCATCCGACCTGATTTGATTTCATTTAATCAAATCCGGTTCGGTCAGATCAGTTTTCGGATTCCAAACTTCTGAACATTAATATTGTATTGTAAAATAGTAATAAATACATTATGTAATTTGATTGCAATCTCAAAATATGTCGAACCTTATTGAAACAGGAGTCGGATATGAGTGGTATACCATTAATTGTAAGATGAGGTTATTATTAAGGTGAAACATATAGTCAGGGATTTCAAACAGATATAACGAATATGGATTTCGACATCAGGTATTGGGTTGGCATGAAAGTAATGAGACACTTTAGAAAACTCGACACATGTCCTTTTTTAAATTAATTGTTTTTGACCATATTTTAGTATGGTGTAGAATATTCTAGATACTTCCGCTCTGTGGGTATATACAAAAGAATATGGTCTACAAAAAAATTAATTAATTAATTAATTAAAAAAGGACAAGTGTAAAGTTTTCTAGAGTGTCTCATTACTTTCATGCCAACCCAATATATTATATACATGAACTATTTAGAATATCATTCAAGAATGGTCTTTCGAAGCACACAAATTAAGAGTAACGTCAATGTGGAATTGAACTTTACTTTGAAAATTGTTAGAAGGGAAAAGCTAGTAGCGAACTTAATATCAGTTTTTAAGTTATGCAGTTGAGTTAAAATAAAATTGTAAATACTTCTAGGTTTTATCACACGGACATATATTATTAAAGGTGAATCTGGCTATAAAGTGCAAACAGTATTCATAAGAGTAATACCATTAAGTAGACAAATTTCAAACATACCATCTTTACGGATCAATCTGATCATTGATCAATGAGTTAGATCTATTACTTTGATATTATATTTCAGTTTTTGGGTATGTTAATAAGGCAAAAGTCAATTAATGTAAAAACAAAAAAGCTATTGGGGTAGCTAAATAATTGCAGTTCTTTATGAAATATCACATAGCTACATCTATATCGTACTGTACAGAAATCCAATTATGCACTCCTATGTACAGGTAAATGTATCCTCTCTCCTTCCCCTTTTCTTTTTGATGCTCTTTTTCAAGACTTTTCTTTTATGGAGTCACCATTGCAAGAAATGGATAAGTGTGTGTGTGTACACGTGCGATCGCAATAGCTTATATTCAAAATTTCAAACGAACAGCTGAATATATCGGGATAAAATTTACATAAGAAATCGGGTTTCGGATAAAGATAGTTACCATGTTCAGATGCGTGGCACTTCCAGTTTCAAAAAATGTGTGTATATATAATTATATTTTTGAATTTTATACATTTTTGTATTTGTTGCTAAGAGATACTTTGAGGACGATTTCATTTACGAAGTTTCTATATTGAGGACAAGTGGCTGTTTTGGGGACCGTCCTTATAGATTTACCAGCGGAAGAGCCGCGAATCTGAATATAGTACTATGATATAAAATTTCAAACGGAGCATTCCACCAACTGAGTTGAAATTCTCACGGCGAACTAAGTTTCGAGTATAAATGACACAGAAACACTTCTTAAGTAAAAAAATGGCTAATGAAAATGACTAAAATTTTCAGTCATAAAATGAAGTGTGCGCAAATATCCAAGAAATTGATGTATGTCCATATCTAAAAATCTGGATGAATTGGTTCAACGATCGGATTTAAGTTTACAGGAAAAAACTAAGTTAGGTGGAACACTAACTTTATTGATATTCAATACTTCCGGTTTCAGAGTTTCACGCTGGTGATATTAATTTCTTTTTGCGATGGCGAATGCACAATATTTAACCGCATAATTTAATGCGTTTGTGTCTCAAAACACATCTATTTGCCCTAAAATTTCATTCTGCAGTAAACACAATACATTATCGTCTTGGAATAATACCTATAACCAATTTTTTATATTTTCTCATTCAAATAAATTATTATATGTAAGTTTACCTTTAAATGCTTCTGTTGTATAAATAATATAAAATTTGAACGTTACGTATCGTGATTCGACATATATCAATGAAAGTCATAAAGCCGATATGAAGATTATTTTCTAGTAACAATTAAAGTGTAATGCGGCGTAAAATGCATGGTAAAATTGTGATATTTGGTAAATATACGAAAAATTTTATAATTTAAAATCAGTTGATTTTGAAAAAAAATTTAAACCAAGCACTGGAATGGACTGTCTTTATTTTTTTACTGTAGAACAGTATTTCATGTTTATGCTAAATGGTCGGTCACTTTCGGGAAAATTTTAATATATAGGAGCGCGCAAGAGTCCTTCCTTTCTTTGCTTTCCTTTATGGCTGACTCCCCCTATTGGCAGACGTACCAGTCGCGCACAAGTCATCAGGGCTTAAACTGCTGCCCCATCATAAATTATTACCTCTACAGACGACTACGTCGCCTTGTTCTGTCCACTTTATACGATTAGTGCAGTTTTTTCCCCAACAATCATGACATGGAGCATGCAAATTTTACCACAAAATCGTAGTAAATATCAATCGTTGATTTTTACTATTTTGTGTAAGTAATAATTGGTACGCTGCCGGTAAAAACTACCTACCTTACCGTCACGTCTCAGTCTTACAAGGATCATGGGTAATTTTGACCACGCATTCCAAGCCAATAATTACTAGAAAACTCTCTCCGTGTACATGCCTAAAAATTTCTGCATATCTATGTTATCCTGGAATTGAAATTGATCGGAGTCCAGAAATTTCATAATTACATTGACATCATGAAATGTGTTTTCTACAATAATGTCCAGTTAATTGATAAAACAGATAACTTGTATATACATAAACATGTACGTATCAGCCTGTGTTTTCACAAATAACCACAAGATTTCACACGGTAATGAAAAAACCGACGAAATTTTTCTGTATGATATGTAGACTTTACCTTTTAAGAAGGTGACTGATTCTTTAGTCACAGATTCAAGTTCTTTAGATTCAATAGTCACAGCAATGCTAAGAATAAGATACATATAATAGGTACACACATACGTATAATGCGGATTGGTTGAAATTCAGTGAAAGTTATAAAATACGCACGCATATACACGTATGGATATGCATATGCACAGAGAGAGAAAGATCTGTCGAAGAAATTTGAGAAAGTTGTTGCTCCCATAAAACTATAATGCTGATAGTGAGGGTGCAATCACACTACAAGCTACTTTCTACTTTATTACATTATCGATAATAGCTAAAGTAGCAAGTCTTCGGATTAGGTGTTTGCTGTAAAAAATTAGTCTGGTCAAGTTCGGTAATGTCCGGTTCGGTTGAGTCAAATTGGCTGGAAACAAACTTTGAACTGGGATATAATCAAGAGAATTATTAATGAGGCCTACCCCATAATATACATTTCTTAAGACCTGGAATACGAAAAATGACATATTATCATTAACGCTGTAACATTACAATGGGCTGATATGGTTTAATAAAGTATAGGATTTACTAAAAACAAAGGAGCATCTCCAAATTTTACAAGTGCATAATGATAATTTATGATTTATGGGTATTGCGTTTATAAATTACATTCAATTGTTTATATAGAAAACTCCTCCTCAAGTGTTTATGGAATTATTTATATAAGCTGAATGTAATTTGTCTAATTTGTAGATGCATCTATATAATTACAGTGTTGCAATTCTGTGTTGTGTAATTTACTGTATTTTGCAATAACTGTTTCATCGCACACATTGCAATTGGGCATGAATGTTTTCTGTGGATCTCGAAATAGCCTGTATACACCATATGCAAACTGCATATGGTGTATTTCAGTAAAACTTTTATATCAAATTTCAGTAATTCATGAATTTCTTGCTACGTGACACTAGCAAGCAGATGAGCTTCTTAACATGCTACATTATGAATTAAAAAGCCAGTTTTAAGTCACTGTATTAAATTTTTCATCAATTGTGTCCTAAAAAGAGTATCCGATGATAAACGAATAAAGGAACAGTTTAATGAATAGCATATGTACATTCGTTCCTCCTACAGTAGAATGACTATGAAAATAAGGCTTGGATTAATTGATAAAACCATCCTGAACATAACTGACATAAAATTGGTATCATTGTGAAATAGCAGTGGTGGAAGTGAGACGGCAAATTTCACATAGCAATTAATATTTAAGATATTTCTGAAATTACTTTGACATTATGTGATATTGCGAATGCTAATGTTGTATTACACATCAGGTTCGACACTATGACGTACACACTTATATTTATTGCATAAATATTTGTAAACTGTAATAATTATAAGTACTAGGACGTACTCGGATTAGACAGTATTTTGACTTTTAATTGAAAAGCTTTTTTGTGACGCTTCCTTTCCATTGAACTGTGTTAATCATAAAATATTTTTCTTACAACTGAATATCGGCCACAATATATCAGAGTGCAATGGCTGCAGTGAAGAAACAAAAAGCTAGATATTATTCTAATTGGATACAAGTATATGTTTGCTTGTTTTCCACACTGCAGAGTGTGTATCGTCATATGGGAATTTCGAGTACTAATAAATTTCCATATGTCTTTATACTCTTATCTTCAGTGCTCCAACTTCCACCAATGATTTTATGAAACATTATAACATCGGATATTCATTTCTCCATGTATAGTACGTTACTAAGGACATACAATTAATATTTTTTGGAGATATATTTTTTTCGTCGTCGAACATATTCTTTTCGTCCTCTCAGAAGACAGCTATCTAATACAGTAAGGGAGCAAGGTAAAGACGGACGTGGTAAAGAGGAATATAAGGAAATACTACTAAAGAAAATATTATGTGATAATTACTAATACTAATATTTCATTAAAGTAAATATAACGTATTCCAGGTCCTAACAGTTTAATATTCTGGACACTTTTCAAAGTTATTTTAATACAAAATTCAAGATATTTGTAGTCCTACAGAAACATAGAACAACACATCTTTAATATAAGAAATGTTTGAGAAGTAATTTTCCCAAATGTATCTGACAGATTCTTGTGCTATTTAGAAAGGAATAGCTATTAAATAGGTGAAGGGGACAGTTGAATGACGTAGATAACTGTATACCTTTGTGATGAAGCTGTTGAGTAGTTCCGATGGGCTCATGTTTTTGTCGCCATTGCGTCTGGGCAGCAGTGAGGCGTCTCGCAGCTGCAGGAGCGACAGTGTCAATCGTAGAAGCTGGTGCTGCGATATGAACCGTCGAAGAGCCCGTAAGATTCCTCGAGACAATCAGTTCGACCCGTGGCTCCTGTCTCGATTCAGCGATGATATCGTAGACTTCCTGAAAGCTCTTGCCTTGAAGTGAACGACCATTCCACTCGATGACTTCGTCGCCTAAAAGGATGATGACAGTAGAAATCGATGCGGTTTCGAGGGTCGCGAGCTAATCGTGGTCCGTCTTACCGGGTCTTAGTTGTCCTTCGATATCAGCCGTACTGCCCTTTTTCACCTTCTCAATGAGTGCTCCCCTCGAGCCGTTCTCCAATAACTTTCCACCGACAACTTTCAGGCCTAGGATACTGCTGCTGCTTCCGGAACCAGCCGACTTGCGCAGTATCATGTGACCGATTATTTTCTGTCCGTCGTTGCTTACTTGCCACGACAGTGGATGCTGTGGATGCGGGAACCACGAGTCTTTCTTCGTTCCGTATATCACACATCTTTTGCACGTTATCACGTCCACGTATATCCTCGTTCGAAACTTGACAGACGACGCGATAAGGAATTTTATAAATTATCCACGTGGAGCTCTATTTACCTCGAATGATTTTCATCAAAATCCAAGTATCAATGTAATTAATGATGAGCTCCTGATTCATTATAGCTATAAACATCGTTTGTTCAATAAATATATTTGATCGTAACAAGTAATAGGAGTCTATGCAAAAAACGGTACGAAGCCAGTTCACGATTTCATCTCGTTCTTGTCAATCCGTCATTTCGAACGGGGATTTCGTTACAAGATACACGGATGCAACTTTGGCATAATACAAAAATTGTTGTTGTCATTCGAACGACAAAGGAGGCACACTTGTCTTCCTTTTATAAACCGGTTAAGTGTTATCATTATCGATCTAAAATCCAAAAGAGGTAAACCTTGACTTTGTCCGAACACAAAAGAGATTGCAGAGTGAGGGTCAAATTTGAGAAAACACTTGACCTCCCTGAACTCGAACGAAAACAACGTGGCACGCAAGATCAACACGCCTCAAAGAAGCGAAAAGCAAAAAGAAAAAAGTAAGAGACGCAAGAGAATGCAATTCGTACATGAGTTTCATGCGGCAATCGTGTATGTATGAAAATGGAGCATGCGAAATAGTGTGCGCTATAAAAATGTCGAGAGTGGAGGATAGTCTTTTGAGAACTGATCGCTTGACTAAACTATATGTATAATATAGTAATTATATGTTGAATACTAGTGGAATCTAGTGGATTTAATGGATTCTAATGGATGGAGGTGAACGCGAATGAATACGCGTCGCGAGTGCGAACGATGGTAATCATGAGAGCGACTGGAAATGAACTTTCGAGCGGCCAATTAGTCGATTGTAGCGCGCTAAACATTTTCACTGCGAACTGGCAAATATGACCGATTGTGCGGAAACTATTGGAGAACTAGCAGCATCCGAATACAGGGTACGTGAAACAGTCAAACAATACTAGTTGCTATTTCTCGCTCACTACTCAACTTTGCCTACTATTATATGTACAGGGTGTTCTAAAAGTATTGTCCCATAGTACCATGCGACTATTTTGAGGTTAATTTTACAAATATAGCAAATAATCTGTATATATAGGTTTTTGCTTCCAGTCCAAGTACGTAATATCTAACACTGAAAATTCTCTACTCGTCTAATCATGTCACGAGTACATTCGGCTTCAATATTAATATTTAAGATATACCATTAAATTTATCAATCTTTAAGTAAATTAAATGTCTTTCTGTTACTATAGGAAGATACTTTGAAAATGAACTTATATAGACAACCGATGTGTCCCCGTAAGTAGCATAGATTGATCTTTCTTCGACCACCTTTTTTTTTTAATTGTTTTTCGCCTGCTATTACTCTCTGCTTCTCTTTCTACTTTTCAACTACTCTATTTATTTATCTCTCTGCCTTCTGCCTCGCTCTTCCATTTTATTTTCACAGCGATTGACTCTCATTTTATTTGTCTTCCTCAAGAGGACGTGATCAACGTGCGATACGATTGCGTTTACTTTTAAGCATCAAACTTCCTGATTAAAATTTGTATCAATGAGAGTTTAAATTAAAAAATGGAACAAGTATGTATTGATATGATTAAAACTGAACTATTCTGTAGAAAAAAAAATCCGTTCGAATTCGAGTATTGAATCATAACAAATTTTGAGGGAAATTAACTTCGAAAATATAACTGATTCTTATAAATTGGGAAAAATTGGCATCATAGATTTCTAACTTCCCGAAAAGGTTCATAAGAAGATCATCAATATGTTACTAGAGAAGAGTACAAGAATCTAAGGTAAAGTAAAGAGACACAAAAGGAGAGAGAGAGAGAGAG